ACATTGCAAGATAAATTAAGGAATCCGGCTCATCCGAAAGGAAGCATGATTCAAGGGACCGTGAGTGAGGAGATTGGTAATTTTGTGGCCGACTATTTAGCCGTTGCTGAACCTATTGGTCTTCCGGCTTCTCGACATGAAGGGAGACTGGATGGTCATGGCACAATTGGGTCAAAACGAATGTCACCAGATCAAGATCAGTTCTCACAAGCACACCTTTATGTGTTGCACCATGTTGTAGATGTTCACCCTTATTTAGATGAGCACATGACATGGCTAGTTTGTGTGATGAATTTCCATCGAAAGGTGAAAGGGCACTAATGCAGTTGCATAATAAGAGGTTTGTAAGTTGGTTTAGTGATCGAGTGATGAGTCGTTTGGATGATAGTGTCACTGATACAGTAAGGTGGCTTGCTTATGGTCCTAGGGATGATGTTCGCTCATTTGAGGGATATGACATCAATGGGTACACTTTTTGGATAGAGGGTCGGGATTTGAAATCTTTGTCGACCCAAAATAGTGGAGTAACGCTTGTGGCATCGTCAAGGGAGTTTGCAAGTGCTAAGGATAAATCACCTGTCGATGCAAAATTGTCATACTACGATCGAATTCAAGAAATATGGGAGCTTGATTATTGTAACTTCACGGTTGCTCTTTTCAAGTGTAAGTGGGTTGATAATATCAGGCTTAATGTCAAGTATGATGACTTTACTCTTGTAGAACTTGGCCACTTGAATGATAGTGCAGAACTGTTCATCCTAGCATCTCAAGCTAAGTAAGTGTTCTATATAACTGACCCAGTCGATTCAAAATGGTCCATTGTGCTAGCTGGGAAAAGAAGAATCCTAGGCATTGGAGATGTTGAAGATGAGGAAGAATACGATGCGTTTGATGATTCAACACCTTTCACTGTTCCTAGACCTATTGCATCAAATGACATACACAACCAGACATGTTATATGCGGTCAGACCACAACGAAGGAATATTAGAATGAGGTACTATAACAGTTAATTTGAGATTGTAAGAATTTAAAAATATTATTAAATTTAATCAGAAGTTAGGTAATTTTATGAATAGTTTTGGGGAAAATGAATGATATTGTTATCTTAGTTGCTAAATTTTCCCAAATTCTTGTTAATGAATGAAGTATATCTCAAAATGCGTCAAATATGATAGAATTTAATATTTTTAGTGTCAACGGTACTAGAAAATAACAAGTTACGTAATTTATAGAGTCAATTTGATGAAAATAGAATAAAAATGATCTATATGTGAATTACTTGCCTATTTTATATGCTAACATGTATTATGACCTATATGTCAACATTTTTATCTCTTATGGACCTAATATCGTGTTATGTTTGTAATGACTGGTGTTTATAACTCATGGAGGACGATATGATCCACTAGTAGAGGATTTGGAGGATGATGATGATGGCTATGAGGGTGAGGATGAGGACAAGGACGAGCCATATGATGTGAACAAGGAGACTGATTTGGGTGAGCCAGAAGATCAGTAACATGATGCTTTTGAGCGCAGGCTTGAAGAATTTGAAATTTCAGCTGAACGTGTGCCTCCTATTGATTATACAATTGTTGAGATTGTTGGTGAGAACACTACTCCTCAAACTCAAAGCCAAGGACAAGAGCAATTGAACACAAGTGGTGGAGTGGGGGTAAAGGCACCAGCTAAGAGAAAGAGTAGGGGTCCGACAACAAGTTTTAAGAAGCCAACCGGTCCAATGGTGCTGGAGTATGACAAAAGAGGCCGACCTACTGGCCAATGGATTCGGAAATATGCAAACCAAGTTGGCATGTGTGCGCGCAAAATCCCCATTACACTTAGTTGGCGGCAAGTACCTCCAGGCTTGATTCAAACATTTTGGGATGATACTAGGGCAAGTGTTTTGTTTAAATGCACATTTACACAATTACAAATAATTTCACCTAATGGTTGTTTGTAAATGGAAAATAATAATTGCTTGTATTTGTGATTGCTGAAGCTGTTTAATATTCCTAATGATCCCGAGAAGAGAAGGGTGTTTGATTCTTTAATAGCGGAGAGATTCAGAGGCTTCAAGACCCACTTGACTAGTGGATGGATCTATAAGAAGAAGAAACACGAGAAGAAAGCTTCAAAGGGGAATGATGGTGAAGATGGAAATGAGGAAGATGTTGAGGAACAAGACCCACCGTGGAAAATATGGCCAAGCGTGACGGAGGACGAGTGGAAAGACTTTGTTATTCAAAAAACTCGACCCAAAGCAATTTTAAGAACTACTAAATCTAATGAGAATTGTATAATATATTGACTCCTTTTGCAGTAATGATGCTAACATTTCTATTTATGTAGGAACTTCGAGAGAAAAACAAGGCAAATGCATTGCATGGGGGCCAAGACATTTGGTGAATGGAGGAAAACTTGGAAGAAGGAGGGTATATACCCCACTTTGATTCAAGGGTCATCTGAAGAACCCTCCAACTCCACGATCACACTACCACATTTTTGACCTATTGCAACCCTCAAATCCGTTGCATTAGATATCGAAATCCATGGCATTAGGCCTAATGCAACGGCCATGTACCGTGGCATCTGTTGGCGTTGCAGTAGGTCTTATGCAACGGCATATGACACCTAATGCCACGGCATCAATGATCCGTTGCATTAGATCAACACCTGATGCAACGACAACATTATTGCCGTGGCATTAGCTATAATACCTAATGCCACGATTTCTTATACCTAATGCCACGGTTTCCTATACCTAATGCCACGGTTCCCTATACCTTAATGTCATCATTATTATTATTATTATTATTATTATTATTATTATTATTATTATTATTATTATTATTATTATTATTATTATTATTAATACACTTAAAATAATAACAATTTTCCAAAAACAAATCAGAATTTATTAATATAAATAAAAAGTTTGTACATTGTTATCTATAAGAAAAATTACAAATTTACATTATCACTAGATAACTAAGCAAAAAAACAATTATAAAGTTAAAACTAAATCATTTTGTCCCCCAAACCATTTGTTCAGCAATTTTATGGACTACATTATCATTTATTTCTTTATCTAGCTTCTACAAATTCTCAAGTACACCAATTCGGGAAGCACCTTCTTCAGCTTAGGTATCCACCTCTTTTACTAGTACTTGATCCTGCTTGAGATCTTTGCAATTCGGTGTTCAAAGTTTCCTCAATGGAGTCCAACTCCTGTCATAGCAATCGTTGATGTGCTCATGCAATTTTTTACACCTACATCATCCTAAATATAGGCCAGTTCATTCTTATCGTCAAAAACTAATTAGCTCGTGAATACTAATTGTAAGCTATACCTATAAAAAAATAGTCAAAAATCAGTGTAGTCAATTCTCTACAACCTGCATATATCAAATAAAACCCAAAAAACCTTATAAAAACACAATCCAATTTCAAGAATTCAGAACAAAAAAAAGAAGATAAACATCCAACATTCCTCTTTTCTCATATATAATTCAAGCAGGGAAACTTAAGTAAAAAATACCCGGAGGATATAGTTGCTACATCAAACAATAAAGTCCAGATCAAAAACCTTTCATGTGCCTCACACCCTAAAATTACATGTGCAAATGTAAAAATAAGTAACTTTAAGCATTTTCACTATTCTCTAAGAGCTACTCTGCAATCTGTGGCACTCTGCATGAGAGGCGTGCAATACATAGGGACATTGTTCAAAAGCTCATAACATAAAAGTAAGCGGTTGTATCAAGGTTAATTAAAATAAACTCGAAGTAGTCCAAAAGTTTATCCATGTACAAGAATCCTTCACTACCATAGAGTATGAGTAAAGAATCTAAGAGAATGTCAAATTTAAACAAAAAGAAAAGAATTAAAGTTTACTATTAAACATGCATATAGTATTTACAAGATATTGCACTCCATATCGTATTAATGAGTCAAAATCAAATTGATATATACAGAAGTAGCCAAATATTGATATTATTGGAATGCTAAAGATAATAAGACAGATAACTTAAAGAAACCCAATTGAGGGAAATTTTGATATGCTTTCGCATAATTCAAACTATCAATTCAATCATATAGCTCATGATAATAAGGACCAAGCACTAAATGATTACAATGACCAATCACTAATATAGCCAGCCGAAACAAAACCAAAACAAGAGATCCATGGAGCAATAACAGCAATGGAGTACATAATTCATATTATTGATTTGATGTTTATTGGCCAAGGTCAATGAAGGTGACCAAATTTGCTGAAAATCAAAGAAAGTTAACACAATTTCAATAAATCTGTGATCATTTTTGCACATTGTCAAATCAGAACACAAAAACCCCATAATAAAAAATATTAATATGTTATATATATATATATTGAGAGATAAATTGTGCGTCGCCATTATCAATCCAAACAACCACATTATATAAAAATCAACAATCAACTGAACCCATAATTGAAATCACCCATAAACATTAAAATCACCCATAATTAAAATGCAAAATAAATAGTCAAATGCAACAAAATTCAAAGAGAAATGAAAAATGATGACTACCTTCTTAACAGAAGACAACAAAGTAAAAGGGCCAATAAGATCCCAATTACGAAGCGCCTTACTAGGGTCTTCTTAATAAGAAGTAGGAAACCAAGCCAACATAAAATTGCTAACAATCTGGACAGATCAACAATCAATCTGGGCTGATGGAGAAATATACCAATACTCTTTATTACTCAGATCCGCTTCCTCTGCCTTCGCCTTCTCCGCCGCCCCTTCTCTCTCTAAAGTCTAAACATTCTGGTATTTTACGGGTTATTGGAGTGTCTACCATGAATTTATACTTATAATGCCTAGGGCAATAAAAAATTTATCCAAAAAAACCCAGAAATTGAAAATCAAGTTCAAGAAGAGAAAAGGATCGGCCATGGATTCAGAGAGAGAAAATGATTTTCAGAGATAAAAACATGGCTACTTTCCAAGGATTCACAGAGAGAAAATGATTTTCTCAACAAAAAAAAAATGAACCGTGAAAGTAAAAAACGCGGCGACGGGATCTAATTCCAGATTTAGAGGTGAATTTAGGATTCGAGGGAGCATGTTTGGTTTTAACATAGTGAATTTCGTTACATGATCAATTTTGTAGGAAAAGACCCTTTTTGATAATTTCTGTTTTCACAAGTGAATTTCGTTACTGGTATAGGTAGAGACCGAGTGTACACTTCTAGACCCGGGGCTATCAAATGGAGGAGAGTTGCAGTTGGTGGCGTATGGTAGTGCACAAGCGACGACCGGTGATACGGTCCATTTCCAATCGCTTAGGCCACAACATTACTCGGTCGGGATCAATTCTTACATTGCTGGGTTCGAAATTGTCCCACTACCGGTGTCTATACTGGATGATGGGATTACTCTTCTTTGGGAAGCAAAAGGTATCTATGTGCAATGGCCACGTGCTTGGGTAAGGTTGATCAACGAGGTAATATTTTTTTTTGATGTTGTGCAAAATAACAAATCGGCATGCACTATCTTTTTCTCTTAACAAATCTGCCTTGGCTGCTGCGTACTTACTCTAATTATTTTTGTTTGATCAGATTTCGAAAAAAGGCAAATATCAAAGAGAAGGAAGGTGGAGAAGCCTAAAAGTGTTGATCAACCTACAAAGAAGATGAGTGGACAAGGGTCGAAGAGTGAACAAGTGTCGAAAAAGAATTCTTCGAAAGGTTCAGCCATGCAACCTACTCCACTTGTTGGAGACAATGTCCTTCAATCGCTCACTAAGGATTTAAATTTTCTACACAATCGTTTTAGTCATTTGCCTAGTGACGATCCCATTGAAATTGCACTTTCTAAGGCAATGTTCCACTATGATGAGGATGCAAGTGCATGGTTAAACAAACAAGATGTGAAGGAATTTTTAAGAGGTTCAATGCTTAACATTTCTCTCATTCAAATATTCATGAGGTACGGGCACATGCCACTTAAATTAACTATGTTATTCATATTAGTGTTGTTAATCCTTCATATGTCAATTAATTTTTCATTGTCCATGAACGCAGAGCACTACGGGAGCACTTAAGTGACACTAATTCCCCTAGTAAAGTTGGGTGGTTATGCCCCGAACAGACATCCGAGACTAGAATCTTACACAACTCCCCCGAGGTGATGTATTATGTTAATCATAGTATTAGGGAATCAATGTGTGCGGGAGACAAGTTCATATTCGCCCCATGTTATGAGGAGTACGTTTAACCATGTGTAATTCAATTCTTTCTACATTTGAATTATATGTTGTACCCTAATTATTGATTTGTTTGTGTATTGTGAATTTATGTAGGTTTTATTGGTTCCTCATGGTGATTTGTCCTGCTAATAACACAATCTTTCACCTTGATTCAGCTCGATCAACAAAGAATTACCTCGTGATGTCTGTACTACAAAAGTAAATATAGCTACCTAGTGTTGATTATCTTAACCTAACTCATTTAGTAGTCAAACTAATCAAATTTGAATTTACTTTCCTATAGTATTATGTAGAAGATACATGGTCGTGCTCCACGGGGTCCTACATGGAAATCACCTATGGTAATGCCACATCATATTGTGATTATCTTAATAAACATTTCTAAAACAATTGTGGATTTTATGTGACGTTTGATTCATTTGATTTTTTCCTATGCTAGTGCCCACAACAAGATAATGGAGTTGATTGTGGATTATACGTGATGAGATTCATGCTTGACATAGCGACTCATTGTACCAACACCATACATCTTGATGAGGTACGACCTTAAACTGAGTAAAATGCTCTTTTTATGTGATTTCAAGGCTTATCCACCTATAACTAAGTATAATTAACATGTTATGAGAAAGAACATGGTCATTAGTTAAAAAATGTAGAAAATGGGCAAGTAGAAGTCATTTAGGCCTTATTTAGGCTATTTAGGATGAAAATGCGTCCTTAAACTTAGTAAAATGCTCTTTTTACGTGATTTCAAGGCTTAGACACCTATAACTAAGTATAATTGACATGTTATGAGAAACAACATGGTCGTTAGTTAAAAAAAAGTAGAAAATGGGCAAGTAGTCATTTAGGCCTTATTTAGGCTATTTAGGATGAAAATGTGTCCTTAAACTTAGTAAAATGCTCTTTTTCTGTGATTTCAAGGCTTAGCCACCTATAAATAAGTATAATTTACATGTTATGAGAAAGAACATGGTCATTAGTTAAAAAAATGTAGGAAATGGGTAAGTAGAAGTCATTTGGGCCTTATTTAGGCTATTTAGGATGAAAATGCGTCCTTAAACTTAGTAAAATGCTATTTTTCTGTGATTTCAAGGCTTAGCCACCTAAAACTAAGTATAATTGACATGTTATGATAAAGAACATGGTCATTAGTTAAAAAAAATGTAGAAAATGGGCAAGTAGAAGTCATTTAGGCCTTATTTAAGCTATTTAGGATGAAAATGCGTCCTTAAACTTAGTAAAATGCTATTTTTACGTGATTTCAAGGCTTAGCCACCTATAACTAAGTATAATTGACATGTTATGAGAAAGAACATGGTCATTAGTTAAAAAATATAGAAAATGGGCAAGTAGAAGTCATTTAGGCCTTATTTAGGCTATTTAGGATGAAAATGCGTCCTTAAACTTAGTAAAATGCTCTTTTTCTGTGATTTCAAGGCTTAGCCACCTATAACTAAGTATAATTGACATGTTATGAGAAAGAACATGGTCATTAATTAAAAAATGTAGAAAATGGGCAAAGTAGAAGTCTTTTAGGCCTTCTTTTAGATCGTTTTGACCTAAGTATTTAATTTTTTACATATTTATTTACACATGTTTAACTTAACTAATTTAATTAATTCTAACATAATTTATATATATTCCAAGTTTTGCAAGGTGCAAAAGGGAGATCCGTTAACAAGCAAGGACTTTAATGAAGTTCGAGACATGTTGGCATCTTTCATCACCTTCAATTTGTAAATGTCACATCATTTTGAATTTATACTTTGTTAATTAACTTTTAGACTACAATATGACTAGTTAGTATTGTTTGTATTTATGTATATCACACTTTATTTGTTGTATTGCATTTGGTTTTTAATTATTAATGTCTAAATATATATTTTTAATTCTTGTTATGATTATTAATAATAATTATATTATGGCAGAATTTATAGCAATAATATGGCAGAATATTATAGCAGAATATTATCGCAGGATCAGTTGCAGGAATAATTGCAGGCAAAACGAAAAAAAAAGAAAAAAAAAATATCCCTATTATTGCCACCGGTTAACCGGTGGCAAAAGTCCCCAAAAAAACCGCGCATTTAAATTGCCACCGGTTAACCGGTGGCCCTAACTATTATTACCACCGGTTAACCAGTGGCAATAAGGCTTTTTGCCACCGATTTTGAACCGGTGGCCTTGCTTGGCTTTATTGCCACCCCCCAAATGACCACCGGTTCAAAACCGGTGGCATTTGGGGGGTTTGAACCGGTGGCCAATTCATATTTTGACCTAGTGATTAAACTGTCAATTAAGCTTGGTTTACCATTGATTAAGCTTCAAACTTGAATTCTTGACTATAATTGTTCAAAAGTTGATACAAAACACATGAAATTCTTGAGCATGTGGTGATGGTGGTCGTCGTGGAGAGGAGAGAGAGTGTTGGCCATGAAGTCGGGGAGAAGAGAAAGAGTGATGGTGGTGGAGGTGACGACATAAAGGCTATGGAACAAGCGGTGGTGGTGATAGAGGAACTAGAGATTGGATAGTGTTGGTGAGGAGATGAGAGAGAATGTTGAGGTTGAAGATGATGGGTTTTATTTATTTTTAGAACATCTACCTTAACATATTAGAACATAAATGTGTTCTCACATATAAAGTTTTCTCACATAAGAGAGGTGTTCTTACATGAGCCTTCCCATATATATATATATATATATATATATATATATATATATATATATATATATATATATATATATATATATATATATATATATATATATATATATATATATATATATAGGAGGGATCCGATGAGAAAAGGTCCATAATTGAGAATTCATACTAAAGTGAGAACTAATTTAAAATTTAGAGCATGTGAGTAAAAATTTAGAACATGTGACTCAAATTAAAATTCTGAACATATGAGTAATAATTTAGAACATTTGTGTGAGAAATATGTTTAGAACATCTGATTTAAGAATTAGAACAAGTGATTAAAATTTTATAAAATTTGCTTTAAAAATTTTAAACAATTGAGTAAAATTTAGAACATATGATTTAAATTTATGAACATGTGAATAAAAATTTAGAACAAACTGATATAAAATATAAAAAGTGTGAGTAAAGAATTTTGAACATACATGTAAAATAATAGACCATACACTTTAAAATATGGAACATATAATTATAAATTTTTGAACACACGTTTTAAAATTTAGAACATATAAGTTAAAATTTTGGAACAAGTTATTTAAAATTTATGACATCAAACTTAACTAATTTATGGTTTAGAACATGTGAGTACTAAATTAGAACATTTGATTTAATTTAGAACACCTAAGTAAAAGTTTAGAACATCAGATTTAAAATTTAGAACATACGAGCAAAAATGTAGAATATATATAGTGTTCTCACATTAAAAAAATTCTCACATAAGAAAAATTCTCAGGAGAGCCTTCTACATATATATATATATATATATATATATATATATATATATATATATATATATATATATATATATATGAAAAAAAATTATTTTAAAAAATTCAAACAAACCGTGCACCGGCTTCATCTAGTATAAATATAGACGATTCAAACAAGATCCCACATGATCATATTTTATCGTATCTATAGATCACAAAAGCGAGTCAAAGTGTATTGTGTGAATAGTGTAAAAGTCAAATGATGTCAACTAAAAAAGTCGGAGGAAGTATATGTATCAATGACATTTTTTAAAAGTAAGAAAAAGGAAAAACATTAGAAAACCCTCCTCATGAGGGGAATTTCTAATGTATCTGAGGAGAGAATGAGAATTAAACTAGAGTTATTACAAGGTATAATATCCATATTATCACTAACTAATAAATGACCTACATTTGCTATTCAATGTGCACCTCTATTCGCCTCTCCATAGATATGGTAAATGCTCTAGCTGTGAAACTGAGAAAGAAGAGCTCTAATTTCGAAGATAATATGGTCAATCTCCCATGAAATGGACCAAATACCTTGTTGATAACTATATGTATTGGTGACGTTACTTTGTGTTGACTTTGTCATAAATTTGAAAACTAATACAACAGTATAGTAGAAAGTAGAAAATTATTAAGCTCGAACTTGGTTCATTGAAGCTAAGCAAAGTCCAATTAGTTTTGAATTGTACAACACCCCTTGGTACTCCACTACTCCTTGGTCCGATTAGCTAAGCTGCAAGTTCGATTAGTTCAATTACTTGATGCAATCCGTGCTTTAGCCCTTAGCTTGATGTTTCAATTCTGATTTTCATTAGATTATTTTGTTGTAACAATTAAAATCCCTAGAAATATGGTAGCAAAGGTCCATGATCTAGCCACTAAGGCTAGAAAATAGGCATAGCTTACCTTTGGTTTTTTCTTTTATATGCCAAAAAAAAAGTCTTGTGTGTGTTTAGAGAGCCACAAGGATGAGCTGAGAATCGATTACTATGATCACCTGAAACCGAAAGCGAAACTCTAACCACTTGAGCTATCCCTATCCCTCACCCTCTCACTCTAAAAAAAAAATGATGAGTAATTGCACATACATCAACATGGAGTAATTTGTTTATTTGGTCTACATTGTGCACAATTCAAAAATCTTACTACAATAATTATTGAATCACAAAACCTCTATCTTGTAGTCGGATATATATATATTAGAATTTGTAACAAAATTAAGCTAGCTACGATATATGGAAACCTTATAAGAATAGGAGCAAGGATTAATGAGCACAAACATACATATATCTCCGATCATTAAATCATTATCCGATACAAACCTTCTCCATCCACCAATTATTTCAACACAAGCTTTCCCAGTATAAAATCTTACATGATGGCTCTTCCCATTTGGTCCTTTCAAGATTATCTCCTTTGATTTTCTTGGAAAGTAAGTTGATGCATGCTCTAATGGAACACGCTACACATAACATGCACAAAATAAATCATTACATTCATGACAGATACATTCCTCAATTTTTTAATTGAAACATTATTTATATTTGTCAAATCATAAATTCAAGTTATTACATTTAATTCTAATAGTATTTTAAAAACATTCATTAAAAGCAAAATTTAATAGAATTATAAATCACAACAAAGAATATACGTTGATTATATGAAAAATGTTAACCTATCTACTAGCTATATAATGAAAATGGAATGAAAACAAATAACTACTACCTAATTTTCGGGGCCAATATTAACCAAAAAAAAAAAACCCCTAGCCTCCTTTTCTCTCTTCTTTCTCCTAAACCTAGTCTCTATTGTCAATTTTAAAGGGGCTTCCATCGGATTTCACCGGTGGAAAGCCCCAACCTTTATTTTTCTTTTAAGGTTTTTGTTTAGGTTACAATAATGTCTCCCTCGAAAGAAAGGGTTTATCTCCTTCGAAAGACAAAGTTTTTTCGATCTCCTTCGAAAGACAAGGTTTTTCGGACTCCTTCGAAAGACAAGGTTTTATTTGCGCTTAATTTGGTCTCCGGTTGTGCGGGGCTACCATTGATTATAGCTCGGATTCGGGTTACGGAATCAGCACAAGAATTTACTTTCTCACAGAATTGTGAAGCGACGACGGATCCACTCAAAAAGTTGTATGAGACAACGAATCGAGAATATGCCGAATTGTTATATTAATGTATTTGAATTCTTAGCCCTTCCCCGATTAATTCTTGTTTGATTTTGTTAAATTCGTTTTCATTATCGTTCATTGTCAATTGTAGATGCCGTATGGCTTATATTAATGAAATTTAGCGTCCTTTAATTAGGACTTCTTTCAAAAAACTAGTACCTAATTTTCATATTTTTTTTACAACTTTGTAATATTTCATATCTCTCAAATAATATCTTGAAGTTGCAAAAAATATGAAACAGTGGTAAACTGATAGTAAATAAACTTACCAGTTTTTTTTGGTCACGGACATTTGAGGGATACATGATTCGTTTGAAGTGAGGATGCTGTGAGGTAATGCCATCAAGCTTTCTCGTAAGTTTCTTTTTCAAATTAGGAGAGATATAATCATACCCTTCACAACACAAAAATTTCGATGTTAATCATAAGTAATAATAGTAGCTAGGCATGTCAACTAGATCTACATGCATTAAGGATCTTCTTAACATCATGTCACTAAAATAAGTTGAGTCAAAATAAGTTGAATCAAACAAAGAGATATATATTGAGACATAAACACGTCAAAATGACAATTACATTTATTATATTAGCTCGCGTACCTTTGCTTTTAAAGCTTGAACTTGCTTCATCATCAGTACTTGAATGAGTAGAATCTAACGTATCATCAAGACTAGCAACACTTGCAACATCGTTGAGATTTGGTTTGATTTCATCTATGATTTCGACTGAGACATCATTTTCCTCAATCTTTTCTTCTTTTTCATAATTCCTCTAAAGATGCTCGGAGTTGGAATTCGTATCGAAAGAGCTTGATGAATTTCGAACAGGATAGTCTATCTCCGTAGCACTCTTGTCAAATATAAAAACGTGGAATTGTGGTTCTACTAAGCCTCCATCAAATCTAAATAGTAAGAAATGTCCATATTCTATGCTATAGAATTCCATGAAATTTTGCCAACCTTTCTCTAAGAATATATTATTATTGTTCAATTTCTCTAATGTCACTTTCCAAGGATGTTCAGATTTTTGAACATTGAGATATATGTCATTGGATAATTGTCTTCCGTATTTCTTCACAAATTCCACCGGAATTCTCTGTGGAACGAGGAGAAAAATATCCGAGATATATCATCTTTTATTTAAATGGTAATTAGTCAACTACATTAAAATTGCAAATCATATACAAGGATGCGCGCACAACAAAAGAAATTATACTTTCTCAATTTCACATCAAGTGTTAATTAATTAATAATGATAAACTATTGACATATTGTAAAGGATATCGTGCAGATTAATTTATAACCCTAGAGAGTCCGAGTGGGATTCAATCTATACAAAGTACTTACGCATCAAAATCTATATTACACCAGGAGCTAGTAATTATTAGGCAAAATCAATACTCATATATAAATTGGAATATTATTATGAATTCACCTTCATCTAATTATTAGGTGATTAGGGACGCTTATTATTCTAATTATAATAACAGTATAATACCGGGAACTCTTGATTATTGTATGACATACATTAATTTTAATATAATCACTTTCTAGTAACCTTCCTATATTTCACGTACATAAACATCAAGAAAAATTAAAATAATACAGAAATAATTTATTTATTTATTTTGATGTACTCCGTAAAATATGATTGTTTTTTCTATCAATTAATTTAATTTAGGTTTAAAGGTCTAATTTTTGATATGTTCATAATTAAATCAACAGCATAATTTGATTTGATTCTGTTAACTAATCACTTGGAATAATCTCAAAAAGTAGTTAAAAATACTTACAAGCTTAGATTTTTGAGCGAGTGGAGAAAGAATAATCTTGAAGAAATAGGGGTTCCTTTTCTCTGAATCATTGCTATCTTTCTTAATCTTCGTCATTAGCCCAATCTTTCTCGCGTTTTCTTTGTTTAATCGCGGTCTTTTATGCCGGTTATTAATTATTATAGGCAATTGAACGTATACATAGATTTCGTGCGTTTTTATTTTTTTTATAATATATTTTAATAATTGGCTACGATTTTCCAAATATAAGGTTTAATTAAAATACACGGGGTATTCCCTCAGAAAAAAAAAGGTAAAGTAAACAAAATCTTTCCTAGTTTAGTCGGAGTATGTGTTCGGCAGTCTTTCACTCTTTTGTACAAGTATTTTTATTAGCGATTTTTTAGGAGCAATTATTTATGCCATGTTTGGTTATGGTTCTTTTAGCAATTGGGATACTGGGATTAATTAAAAGTGTTTGGCAAGCTAGTGGTGATCAATAATAGTGTTTAGTCAATAATTGCTAAATGTTCACGTTTTGATCTTGATAGTGGTCGCTAAGTTTTTATACTACTCTCTCTGATCCATAATTCTATAATGTTGTGCTCGATATCTTTGTATGTCACGGTAGTTAAGGAATTGAGAGTTTCTTTAATCGTCAATGATTAGTAGTATAAAAGTACATGTGGGTGTACTTTATTGCATTATAACATAAGGTAAACACGTATATCTTCTTTTGCTATAAGTTCTTCCATCCTATTTTAATCATATACTACCTCCGTTAACGGTTATTTGCAACATATAATATAAATGGATGCTAACTATTATATGCAACAAATGTTTTTTTTTCCTTTTTAGGTAATCATTTCTCTCTATTTCTCTCCTCATCACATGCACCCAACCTTTTCTCTCTCCATTTTACTCTCACAAACAAATTTTGCCTAGGAGTCCGCAAATACCCCCTTTATTGCAAATAATAGTTAACGAAGGAAGTACATCAATCTAACGTTGACCATAAATACAACCAGAAACACAAATGTATGGAGTATAAATTTTGAAACACCAAATAAGGAATAGACACAACTTTATGGAATAGCAGGACTAGTTAACAACTACATACTACATACTAGGGATGTCAGTGGGGCGGGTCAAGTAGGAGACCCACCCCATCTCCACCCCAGCGAGGCGGGGATGGGTCTCGGTTTAGCAGGTGGTGGGACGGGGATGGGGGATGGGGATGAAAACCATACCCGTCGTGGATGATGGGGCGAGGGTGGATTTTATGTTGTACCCGCCCCGTCCCACCCGCCCTACTTCGTACCCGTCTCATCCCTACCTCATACCCACATCTATGTATGTATCTTTTAAAACAAAATTATATATTTTTAATACTATTTTATAAAATATTCATGTAAAATAAATAAAATATTAATTATAATATTTTGTAATACACTTAGGGCTTGTTCTCTTAGTTAAAGTTCAGTTCAGTTCAGCTCAGCTCAGTTCAGTTCAGTTCAGTTTAGCTCAATTCAATTCAGTTTAGTTCAGCTCCTAATTTCTTTCTCTTATAAAATATTCATTTCAGTTCAGTTCAGCTGAGTTCAGTCAATGAACACAGACCCTTAGATTATAAACAAAAAAAATGTATAATATTAAGAATGATTTTTTTTTTTTAAATGTAGTCTATATTAATTATGTAGGATTGTGTATTTAAAAGGTGGAGATTAGGTGGGTCTTTAGTGGGACTAGGCGAGTCTTTGGTAGGATTAGGTGGGGGTGGATATCTATGTGAGGAGTGGGGCGGGGAGGGTTTGGGAATTGTACCCATCAAGTGGGAATGAGGATGAATTTTAGACCCGTCGCGGGAATGTAGATTAATCCAATGTGAAGGTTTATCGTAAAAATAAAAGCAACAGAAAAGTAATGTAGCTGCTTCGCTTATTTATTGAATTTTTTTTAACTCTATCTTTTAATGTAAAACACATAATACTCGCATAATAATACTTAGCGACATTAAATAATACAAGGATCCAAATTCCAATTGCTACACATCTATACAGAGACTATGCAAATGTAACGCATCAGTTACGAGCTACGAATGATTGTGACCTTGTACATAGCGGTCCTAGGGTCGACCAGCTCAAATACGCAAGCATCTCCTATGTGCAACTCATTGTCCCGTACAAAATTCCCCCATCCAGCAGACCCGACTTGTGCGAGGTTATTTTTGGCATACACATTTAACCTCAAATTGTACCACTTCTCGTCTACTGATCTCTTCAAGATTAGCTTCAACTTCTTGCTCACAATCGTCAAATTCTCTCTAACGTGGTTGATTGGAAATGACTACAACATGCATGTATTTGTGTAAAAAATAATTAAATTTTAGATTTCTCATGATTTCAATTCATCTCATTTATGCTTATCAACTAGGAAAATAATTATGAGCGTTTTTAATGATGAAAGACAAATAATGAACTTTTTCACTAGTATGACAAAGAGATGAAAGAGTACGAGTGTGCAACAAACCTTAATTCGATCTCTTAGTTCACTAGTGTTAAATTTCGAAACAATGTGAAATGGGTTTGGGTGGCAACCCGAACAAGGATGAAGAGAGCTTGGTCCACAAACCTTTCTGATACCAGGTTAAATTTCAAAACAATGTGAAATGGGCCTGGGCAACCCGAACAAGGAGGAGGAGAGTTTGATCCACAAACAAAGATTTGGAGCTTCCATACTAAAACAAATTGGCAATAATAGGAGTAACTCCTCTATCTTATAAAGTGGAATCGCCTCTCCTCTTTCTCCAATGTGGGACACTTACAAGTGGGATACAATGGGTTTCAACAACTAGTGAACTAGTTCTCTATATCTAGCCAAACTACGTACTCTTTAAAAATGAGGCTACATACACTTACCAGTCGATATTGGTTAGAGACATTATTATGATGCATGACAACTTTGAAATGAGGCTTTTGAGGTTCGAAGGCTTCAATGTTATGCATAACACTTGTCGTCTCTGTCTCTGTCTCATCAATAATATGAATATCCTTGGCCTCTTCATAGATAAATCAAATGAATCCATAAGACATTAAGACAACATTATATATGAAAATTAATTAAAATCCGTTTATTATGTTACGAGTATATAATAATGTATAAACATAATTCGGTGTTAAAAATCTAGTTAGAAATATCGTACCAAGTGAAAGGTCATCATCATTATCACAAGACGAAATTTCTTGGACTTGTTGAGCTAGGTCAATAATACGATTTTGGAACACTTGGTCATAGTCGATTTCACAACCAGACATATTAAAAATGGTGACACAAAACTCAAAATTGGCTTCATCATACCTAAATAGGAGGAAATCACCAAATTTAAGAGAATAGCTCTTCACAAACACTTCCCAACCTTTCTTAAACCATACTTTGTCACATTGTTTTAATAGCTCTACTCTCCAAACTCTACCATCGGCTACTCTGAGGTTCACATAATCTTTTGCTAATTGCACCTCTTTGTATTTGTGCACATATTTTTCGGGTATCCGCTGCCATCCAATAAAATAAAATTGAATTATAAATATTGATCAATTAATACGAGTATATACATATATAGTACATTAATTATATAAGACGAGTTAGAAATTTTCAAATGACATATAATATACACTAGCGAAATTTGTAGACACATAAGTCACAGATCAAGTGAAGACATACTTTTGACTAGTAAAAGAATTGTAGAAACAACTCGATAAAAAATTTAGTATAACACATTAACGATTTAAAATAGAAAGAGTAGAATTCAGTAAACATTTAAATTAGCACGAATAGAATCTAGTATGATGAAAATAGAAACTTACTAGAGTGTGACATTGAGTTGAAGGGGAGACAATAATTTTGTAGAAATGTGTTCCCATAGTCAACAAATTGATAGGAGTTGTTTATGGAAATATTGTTGATCCATTATTCTCACCTCTATTATTCTCAAGTCTTAACTTAGAAATTACTTTTGTCAGAAAAGTCAAGCTAGCAAATAAATATACTACAGTCTACAGTACTCCATAGTCCAAACTACGTAGTATATCACAGTTATAAAGTTGGAAGTTGAATTAAATTGTAGGGTAGTTGAAGAAAAACTAAATACAATAAAGTGGATAACTGATTGGTAATAGTAAATGCTAATTGAGCAGATAGTAATTGTCTATTACTCGCACTGTTGCCGGTTGCACTGCCCCAAGAAACTTGCTTAAGTCACATTACTCACATACTCGTAATGTAGGATCCAGTACTCGTACTAGAATTTTTTTTTGGTATTTTTCGTACTAGAATTTTTTTTTTTTGGTTTTTTTTTTGGTTTTTTTCGTACTAGAAATTATTAATGTCACTTTTTTTTTTGGGATTTTTTGACTTTTACCACCAAAAAAATCACAAAATTGTTTTTTACTACAAATTTTAAAAGTTTTATTTTACCACAAAAAAAAAAAATATTGTTTTTTTACCACTTGCGTCAAAAACTTAACGAAATATTTTAAATTCTTCGATTTTCGTGCCAAACACATCATCTTTAGGGATTTTGGGGGGCATTTTGGCCATCTGGGTCCAATTTGAGGTTAGAATTGACAAAAATGATCGAAAATGCTTCCTTTGTGTATTTAAAATTACCTCGGGTTGCGTGAATTATGCAAAACGAGGCATTTTCGATCATTTTTTGTCAATTCTGGCTTCAAATTGGATCCATAGATCCAAAATGCCCCCCAAAACCTATAGACAACATGTTTTGCGCACGAAAATCGAAGATTTTTTTTAAACGTTGTTAAATTTAACGACTTTCTTACCGGTAGGCGGTAAAAAATAATTTTTAAAAATTTTTTTTGGTGGTAAAATAAAACTTTTAAAATTTTTTGTAGTAAAAAAAATTTGTGATTTTTTTGTGGTAAAAGTCAAAAATTCTTTTTTTTTTTCTTGTTAATTGACTCATAACGTTCCTTTTTGTTCAATTCCTTACGCTTGATATATATCATGTACAAGTACTACACTCTGGCCTTGTTCTGATTTACTGAACTGAATTGAGTTGTTTATGAAAGAAGAAAATTGAAAACTGAACTAAACTGAAATTAAGCTGAAGAGAACAGACCTTAGTCATAGATTGTTACTAATTACTAGTACTATTATTTATTCACTTTTATATTTTTTTTTTAAAAAATGGAAATAATCTTCTCTTAAGTTTTTCAATATATTTTATCTATTTAAGCATTCTAGTCGAAACATTTATTGACCGTTGAAATGTTGGTTATATATAGTTTTAGTGAATGAAATATATAAAAAATGGACTCAAATTTTTTCTGCAAAAGATAGGAACATTTTTAAAAGGAGAATGTTATACATAGCCCTTAGAACTATGTAACAACTTTTTGGTGAGTAAGTTTGTCCAAAATTTTGATGTAAAGAGACAAAATTCTAAATGTAACAAATTAAAAAGCACAAAAATTAATGAAATTCTTTTCTTCTTGTAAAAAAAAAACACACACACACATACACACAAAAACAATTATTTCATATGTAAGTACATATTAAATTAAGAGTAATGCTAAGAGCTACATATAAACATTAAATACACTCTTGAAAATTGTATAAAATTAAGAATTCAGGACAAACACACGCGCAAATCAGTGTAATTAGAGTTTATAGTTTTATGATTTCAATTCATAAATTTATACGATTTTCTAGTGTAAATTTAATGCTTATATATTTAACCCTTGACTTAAATTAAAAAGAATGGATGGACCAATGAAGTAGTAATTATGATTTATATATGTTGTTTATTGAGGTTTGAAAACCATACAATTACTCTTTTTTTTAACCATTATACTCTTGTGTCAAATTAAAAAAAAAAAAAAACATTATACTCTCTCCATTCCTGAAAGTTTGACTCATTTGCAATTGCACGATTTTCAATGAACATCTTTGACCATGAATAACTCCGACTACATATAAGGGAAAATTATAAAAAGTTGATATTTGGATTATTTATACAGAGTAATAAGGAGAATTTGATAAGATCTTACATGCTGATTTATACCTATTGTATAACTTATAAAATGTGCTCAAAATTCTTTTATTTGACCACATAAATAGTAAGTGAGTAGAACTTTCAGAAACAAATGTAGTATCACCAAAATACCAAATTAGCAATAATTATTCTCAATCCTCGAAAGTCAATTATTCCAATTCTCTTTTGACCTATATCAAGAGTAAGTTGACCCAATGACCCAACTTCATTTTGTGTTGCTTATGAACTAAGGAACGTAAATTAAAAGAGGTCTCTATAAGAACAACAAATGACATGTAATAATAATTTAAGGATTGGAGATGATAATCATCAAGGAGAAGAAATTTACATTCAAAATATACTTCATAGAAAGAGGTTAATTAGTTAAATCATACAGATCAATATGATAGAGAATATATACTTGTTTTACTTTACAAAAAGTACTCCGTAGTTAATGGGAATTAGTACACCATTGCACATTTGCACCAAAAAAAATTAAAGGTTAGAAAACACCATCTCTCCGTTCCATACTTTACCTAAACAAAATATAAACCAACGTTTATACATTACATACCTATATATATATATATATATATATATATATATAGAGGAAGGCTCATGTAAGAACCCTCCTCTATATAAGAACCCAATCTTATATAAGAACCAATCTCAGCCCTTTATTAGTTTTGATCTAACCACCTAAAATGATCCTTTAGTAATGGCATTTCTGTAATTCTTCTTTTATGTTCTAAATTTTTTTGCCTACTCCTATGTTCTAAATTTAGTCTATTTATGTTCTAATTTTTTTTTTCCTATGTTCTAAATTTAGTCTACTTATGTTCTAAAGTTTTGTTTCCTATGTTCTAAATTTTTTCTACCTATGTTCTAAAGTTTTTTTTTCCTATGTTCTAAATATTCTTTTACCTTTTGCCTATGTTCTAAATTCAGTCTACTTATGTTCTAAAGTTTTTTTTTTCCTATGTTCTAAATTTTTACTACCTATGTTTAAAAGTTTTTTTTTCCTATGTTCTAAATATTCTTTTACCTATGTTCTAATTTTTTTTTTCCTATGTTCTAAATTTAGTCTACTTATATTCTAAAGTTTTTTTTTCCTATATTCTAAATTTAGTCTACTTATTTTCTGCTCATATAACTTAGTGCTAATTTAATTTGTTTTATTGGATTTTTTTTTTAAAAAAAAACATTTGAAGTTTTTTTAGTTATTTATAAAGATAACCTATGTAGGAATTGAACCTACATCCTCTATGCATTTGCATAGTGCTCTTCCAATTGAGCTAATAGGTTTTATCATATGTTCTAAATATTATTTGCATATGTTCTATAATTTATTGCTTAAGCTCTAAATTTTTCAATCTAAGCTCTAAATATATATATGTTCTAAACTATTTTCCTATGTTCTACATTTTATTGTTTATGTTCTAAAGTTTTTTGTCCATGTTCTACATATATATCCTATATTCAAATTTTTTTGTCTATGTTCTAAATTTTTCCTATGTTCTAAAGTTGTTCGTATATTCTACACCTATGTTCTAAAGTTTTTTCTACCTATGTTCTAAAGTTTTTTCTACCTATGTTCTAAAGTTTTTTTTTTCCTATGTTCTAAATTTTTTCTACCTATGTTCTAAAGTTTTTTTTTTCCTATGTTCTAAATATTCTTTTACCTATGTTCTAAATTCTTTTGCCTATATTCTAAATTTAGTCTACTTATGTTCTAAAGTTTTTTTTTCTTTCCTATGTTCTAAATTTTTACTACCTATGTTCTAAAGTTTTTTTTTTCCCTATGTTCTAAATATTCTTTTACCTATGTTCTAAATTATTTTTTTCCTATGTTCTAAATTTAGTCTACTTATGTTCTAAAGTTTTTTTTCCTATGTTCTAAATTTAGCCATACCAACTACTCACAAACACTTATACAAATCAAATTGACTTGATGTTCTAAATTTTTGTTTCCATATACCCTCCATCTAGGAGAGACCATTCTGGTATACCATTTTAATTTGACTTCCTTTAATTCACCTAAAGACCTTTCTCTAAACTTATCAGAACTTACTTGAAATTATTAGTGAATTGAACTAGGGAAGCCCTCATCAGAAATAATTCACCGTCAAAGCCCCGCATTTTAAATACCTCTTTTGCTGATCATAGCCAGCAATGGTATCCCATGATACCTCTTCTTTGGCATTACCAACAAGTGGTTCATCAAGGCCGAATACACGTACGCCCATGGCTTCCAAACTAGTAATTGATTTACTTATCGATGGTGTTCCTGTAGAACTACTTCTTTCTCCAGGTTTACTCTGCCCTGACCTTTCACCAGCTTTGCTCTGCCCCTGGCCTTTCACCAGCTTTGCTCTGCCCTGGCCTTTTCACCAGCTATTTGCATGATGGAGACCAGAGCCTCAAGCTCAGCAGGACTAAAGCTTCCTTTCTTTAGGAACTCAACCTTCTAAAAGTATACCAGCAACAAAAACATCAGTTCAATGCTAGATGCGAGCAATACTCTCTTCGATATCAAAATAGGGCATATAGCATCTATAAGGACAATATCAACTATCAAGGTTAAATTATAGGCAATAATTACCAGCTTATGAGGACTTTATCAGTGGCCTAAATATTAAAACACATAGATCGCTGTCATTTGAAATGTTTTCCCCCCCAACATTACTCTCTCCACTTTCTCTCTTTCCATTTGGGAGCCTGAGTGCTAGCTGACAAGTAACTATGCTGAAATTATACAGGCTAACAGAAAGAAAAAAAAATAGAGTTAATTGATAAAAGCAGATTCAATAACAAAATATAACTGAATTAAGTACTAATAGCGATGAAATTGAAATAGCATAAACAGATATGACGTCCAAAATATGTAAAAAGAAAAGCCAAAAAAGATGAAGGAGCTTAAACTTTGAAATCACCTATCCCTAATTTGAACATCCATTAGTGAACCACCATTGAGGCTTGAAGCAAGGTTTTCTATCAGTCTAGGGATTTCGCAATAAGCCGGTACACCGTCAGCCGGCGAAACAGCCTCATAGCCATCACCGACAGCAGTGCTGGCCTCCACCAGCCATTAATTCGAAATCGAAATCCGCTAAAATCAGCAAAAATCGAACCCTAAATTCGAACACTAAATCTCCGAAATTCGAAATCTAAAATCGAACTACAAATCCGCAAAAATAAGCAAAAATCGAACTCTAAATTCGAATCCTAAATCCGCAAAAATCGAACCCTAAATTCGAACCCTAAATTTGCAAAAATCGAACTCAAAAAAATCAAACTCCATGCGAAATTCATTAAAATCAAATCAGAAAAATCGAACTCATGCAAAATTTATGAAAATCAAAACAGATAAAACGCAAATATCAAATCACAAAAATCACTGAAAATTCGTGAAAAAACAAACAAATGGTCGAATATAATCATACCTGAATTGTGATATCTAGAGTTTTTTCGCCAAAATTTGCTCTTAATTTGTGAAATTTAACTTATTTTATGATTGATGTTGTTGATTTTAACCGAGAAAATGAAGGAAAATTGTTGAAAGTTCTTCGAAGTTCAGCTTCTGGCACTTTTGAGGAGAGAGAAACTCACAAACAGTTAGATTGAGGAGAGAGAAAGTGAAAGCTGTTTGAGTTTGAGGGTTTGTGATTTGTTTTAATCGTGGCCGTTCATATCAATCTAATCTTACGATTAAGATTAGTTCTTATATAAGTAGGGTTCTTATATAAGGAGGGGTTCTTACCGGATCCCTCCCCTATATATATATATATATATATATATATATATATATATATATATATATATATATATATTTATTTATTTATTTATTTTTATTTATTATTTTTTTTTAACGCAAAAGGATTTCTGAGTAAAATTTCACCTTTCACTTTTCATCGTTTGGAGATTGTCGGTAGGTATTAAATATTTTCCGGTGGAGTAATTATTTTTTTTTTATTTTTTTATTTTTTAAAGCTAAATAAAAATAATGACACATACTCCTTCTCCTTATAAAATAAAACACTGCTAATTAAAATAACTTAGATTAGACTAAAGTCAAGCAACTTGCAACTTGCAACTTGTAACTTGTAGTCCTGTATTTTCTCAAACGAGCAACGCTTCCATAGTAGACGAAAAAGCTTCTCCAAACACTCTTCAAAAATCATCCATTACTCTTGATCAGTACAGGTATATATTGTATATAAATGGTATTTTTTTGGAATTAGATAACTTTTATCTTATCTTTGGTTGTGTATGCAATTGATAAGGGTTTAGGGTATTGTTCAGATGTTTGAAATTTTTTTGGCAAAATTGTTCAATGTACTAGTAATTATGTGTGATATTATGTTAGATTGAAGATAGTTAATATGCTTATCCCCCAATTTTTGTGGGATAGGGTTTTGTGGTTTGCTTGAATATGGCGATCCCTCCGTTTCATAATGTTAGTCCCATAAGGAATCAATCACATAAAATAAAAAAACAAATATATTTGGAATCTAACATTAAAGTACAACATAATTCATAATTAGTTTACCTTATTTAACTTTTTTGATTTTTTATTAGGAAAGCACAAGTCATAATTGCATAATTTAAGGTAAAAAATTCTTTACTTAGAGTTATGTCATTAATCTACAATTAATTAATTCCAAAAAAATCAAGATATAAATTAAATATATTCAATATGGGTAGATCTTTTTGAAACGCTCAAAATAATATATGGGACTAACAGTATGAAACGGAGGGAGTATTAGATTAATAAAATTGAAAACAAAACAGAGTAAGAAGACGTGAGTTTATAGGCTTTTGGATATGCAATTTGTATAATAAAAAATGTTTGGGCTATGAATTCTAAAAGGGGCTTATTTGGTCTAAAATTGTTCCGTATGTCAATATTGATAATCTATAAGTTTTAATTAATTCATAACTATATACTCTATTTATCTTATGTAAATAATAGGTACTGATTAATATGGAACCAAAACCTTGCATTGTTGTTCATCATGGTGGATGTTGGAAGCTAGTTCAAGGTGTTATGGAATACAGGGTGGGTTTACAAATATATTTAATGATGTGGCTGTTTTTGATCTAGTTCATGGTATTTTTTTTTAGAGTCAAAGTCTAAATTTTATCTCTTTGACAGTTGTAATTAACAAATTTAGGAGAATTTTTCATTAAGTGACCGGATTTTTGAATTCCGGTGACCGATAATCCCCAAACGATGAAAAATGAAAGGTGAGTCCCCAAACGATGAAAAGTATGAAAGGTGAGTCCCCTAAAATGCATTTTACTCGTCTTTTTCTTATACACATTTAATCGTACGTTGTAGATCTTCTCATCTGGTCCTATGAGGATTAGCTCCTTCTCATTTATACCCTTTAAATGTTTTCTGAGGTAGCTCATTGGAATTGTCTAGACGTATCACATATATGTACATGTTAGACGTTGTAATAATATTTTTACATGATTATAGACATATTCTAGAATAAAATATAACCAATGAATTAATCTCATGGCTAATAAAAATGGACTGGAAAATTATATTGTATGTAAGATTTTCTTACCATTCGATATAACTTGGAGACATAGGTAGGACGCATGATAGCTTTGAAATGAGGGTTTTGGGATTTGAAGGCTTCGAGCCTTTCCATAACACTTATCATATCACCAGCCACAACAACTAAATGGAAAAAAAAAGGGGGGTAAGGAGATGTATTAATAACCTCGTTATAACACTTTTCAATCTTTTCCTATGTTTATTAAGGCTTTCTATATAATAACACTTTTACCAATAGATTAATAGATCTAACATGAGTACATGACCCAATTCAAACATTCAATTGGAACTCTATTATTTAACCCCAATGATTAGCACTGTGAAAACGGTTTGACAGTTCGGGTTTGGTTCAGTTTGAAATCGGTTCGAAATTAAATCGGGTCGGTTTGAAATCGGTTTAAGTGTCTCGTGGGTTGGTTTCAGTTCGGTTTAAATAGTTATCGGTTCGATTCGGTTTTGGTTTATTCTTGAGCGGTTTTAATTCGGTTCGGGTTGTAAACGGTTCGGGAAGTAAATGGTTCGGTGCAGCCGGGTTGCAGTTTGTTAACGGTTCGGTGTAAACGGTTTTTATACCGGTTCAAACAGTTTCGGGTTGGAAACAGTTTCGAGTTAGAAACGGTTCGGTTCTTTTTTGGTTCAGTTTTATTTTTGTTCGGTTTGTTAACGGGTTTGCCTTTTAAACGGTTTAACGTAATTCGGATCAGTTTCATTTCACGTTTATTAAATTATGGTTCAAAACGGTTTCTTATTTCAAAAAGTCGGTTTTTAATCGGGTCGTATGGATTCGGACAGTTAAACGATTTTGGTTTGACATTTCATATTACTTGCTAACCTTTTGCTGGTTAACAAGTTTTATATCAAGCCGAGACTTCATCACTTTATATTTAGGCATTAGGCATTATTTTATACACAAATTCTCATCGATTTCAAAAATACATATCATGTTATTTCAAGTTTAGTCATACTGATGTTACTAGTTTATTACGAAGTAACGTAGATTATAAAAGTTTAGTGTATTAATGAATTATTATTGTTTTACTATCACATTATTAGTTGCTTCTTATTCATCATCTAATTGATGTGTCATAATCATGATTTGATGAATTATTGTGACATCGAAATTACAGTTTGATTTATAGACGGTTCGGTTTGTAAGTGGTTCGGTTTATAAACGGTTCGGTGCAAACGGGTTGCAGTTTGTTAACGGTTCGATGTAAACGGTTTTTTCCTCGCTTCAAACGGTTTCGGGTTGGAAACGGTTTAGGGTTAGAAACGGTTCGGTTCTTTTTCGGTTCGGTTTGATATCAGTTCGGTTTAGAACTGGTTCGGTTTTTATACGGTTTGACATTATTCGGATTGGTTTGATTTCAGGTTTACTTAAATACGGTTCGGGTCGATTTTCGGTTTTACAAAATCGGTTTTTAATGGGTTCGGTTCTCATTTGGGTCGGTCGGTTTCGGACAGTTAAACGGTTTCGATTTGAAATTTGACAGCACTACCAATGATATTGCACATTAGTGACATTATGTACTAAGTATGACCTATTCAAAACTCGAGAATAACTTGATCCACCGATATCTAACTAGTTACAATTTTACAAAATTTTAAAGATGATCTGACTAGATTTGTTTTGTTTTGAATTTGAAAACGCTCAACATAAACTTTTTATATTTTTATTTTACGGTGAGCACAAACTTAGGGCCTGTTCATATTTACTTAATTTCAGTTCACTTCAGTTCAGTTCAGCTCCAATCAGTTCAGTTCAGCTCCTAATTTCCCTATCTCATAAAATATTCATTTCAGCTCAATTCAGTTCAGTTCAGTTCAGTTCAGCTCCAATCAGTCCAGTTTAGTTCAGTTCAGCTCCAATCAGTTCAGTTCAGTCCAATTCAGTTCAGCTCAGTTCAGTAAATGTGAACAGACCCTTATTTTAACACAAATTGACTAAGCCCGAACCGGATAAAACCAATCCAAATTTGACCTTTTCCACACCTTACAAATTCTGAAAGGATATTTATTTGACATTAATTGACCCTTATGTGACATAAATCAAATTAAATTTTTGTTATTAACTCCACCCTCCAAGCTAAATAGGAGTATTTTTTTTGTGGACATTAATTTAAAGTAAAGACGGATCAATATCATCAAATTAAAAAAAATATCATCAAATTTGATGTGTAATAATTAATTACAACTATATATACGAGCGAGTAATAAGGCAATGTTCTATCCACCTCATTTCCACTTTTTTTTTTTAAGACAAATGAGTTTAAATTAATTCGAATAAGTTTAGGAGGGATACCCAAGTTCAATTTTTTCAACTACATGCAATAAGGTACTCTCTGTATAATAATATTCCGTATTGATAAGTTCATATTAGTTTAAATAACTATTTTCGATAAGATTAAAAATTAGAACAAACCATAACTATGATTATATACCTGGTGATGAAATAGCAGTGTCATTATCATCTTGACCAATCATCTCATCATCATAAGACGAAATTTCAATGATTTCTTGAGCTTTGATATAATTGTGGTACACATGATCATACTCAATTTCACAACCATTCATGCCAAAAATAGTAATATGGAACTTTGAATCACTTTCATCATACTTGAATAAGAGTAAGTTACCATATTGCAAATCCAAATTGATATATATATCAACGAGCAGCGTTGATATAGGGGTGTTGTTGTCAATTCACGTATTAAATGAGGGTCAGAGTTGGAATATAGCTTTTTCCTCCGTTTTATGTCCTCCGTTCTGAAAGTGGGTCTGTTATTATTGGACGTTAACAGACGTTAATGTTTTTTGTTTCTCTCTCTTCGAAACCCTAAGTTCAGCTTTCTCTGTCTCTGTCTTTCGAAGCGAATTCATGGTTTTTTATATATTTACACTTGATTTGGTTGGTATACTGGGAATTTCCGTTAACCGACTGGATGTTGAAGACTACCGGTATCGAGGATAAGAAGACTGAAAATGTTATGGAGCTCAATTGTTCTGATGAAGACATGTTCGTAGTAGAAGTCGGATCCAAAATTACGGTACCATTCGTTTCATAATTAGCTCGATAATGTGACTAAATGCAATTCAAATTGAAATTAGTAAAATGAGTAGTGTGGGAATGTTAGTAATGTCGGAAACCAATAATTGGATTGTTAAATTTGAATTTTTACCTTAATTTAATTAAATTTGTATAATGTTGCATCTTGGTGTTAGTAATTTTGGTGTTCATTGTTTTCTGTTGATTAATTACCACTATTGTTTACAATAGTTATTGAATTTGTATGATTTACTGATTTATATGTAATCATGTGTATTTTTAGCATAAACGTTTGGAAGGGAGAAAAAGTTTAAAGAGGAAATCATTTGGTACTCGAGCAGGTTGTATTAAACAGGTATTAAGTAGTGTTTGTTTGTTGTTTTTGAAGTTGTTAATCTTATCCTTGATAGAAATTGTTAAATTTGATGTATTAGGTTGTTGCTTCTTACAAGGAGCCACCACTGAAGAGTCTATCTCCTGAAATTTTTAAGGTATTGCTGCTGCTGTATGTAGTAACCGTTCTGTTTATATGTTTGAGCATCATAGTTTTCATTGATGATGGATAGGTCTGTATATGTTATGTTGTTGTAGGATGAGTCATTAACGATTGGTGGGCAAGTAAAAGCTAGAGGTCAGGTGTTAAAGACTCGAGAAGAAGCTAGAAGTAGGGTAAGAATTGATGTGATACTGGTTTTGCATACAACTTCTTGGGTTTGTATGATATTCCCTGTATATATTTCAATTAGCCTTGTTATCTTGTTTCAGCCGCCCAACACTACATGTCGTGTTGAGACCTTCGGAAGGATTTGTCAAACTTTCGATGAGCGTAGGACTCTCTGGGTTGTTGAAATGGGGTTTGGGGGGCTGTTACATTTTGCTGGAGACATGCACCTCCCAAGGCAGTTATCTTATTGGCTAATGAGTTGTATTGATCCTTTGAACTACACATTAAGATGTGCAGATGGGAGGGTGTTTGCTCTTTCAAAAAACCAAGTACATTGGGTACTTGGTATTCCAAATAGAGGGATGTGTGTACCATGTTACAAATCTTTACCGTTTGCTAGAAAGGGTAAGGTTCATGAAATAATGGGTAGGTATGGGAAAGCATGGAGTAGTAAATCAAACAAAACAGGTCGACAGTATAAATCTGAGGGCATCCCTGTGGATAGGAAATTAATGGAGAGGGTTGAGGGTTATTGGGGGGAAGAGGATGGAGATGAGTTTAAGATGTTGTTTTTGTTACTTTCACTGGAGATGTTGTTGTGTCCTACACAGTCTTCAAGGCTGGCTTCAGATCTAGTTCCATGTTTAACATGTGCCTCCGAAGCTTCGGAATACGACTGGTGCAGTCTTGTCTTGAAGAAGCTTATGGACAGTGTAGCTACATTTGCACGCAGGTTTTATGCCAGTGGTTACGCTAGTGGCTGCGGAGGATGTCTTATATTCGCAGTGGTATCTAAATTTATTGTCTTTTTAATTGTGTTACTGTATATGATATTGTCTTATCAACTTTACTGGATGATATTTCCATGGTGCAGGTTTTCTATCTTGACCGCCTTGAGAGGCAACCGGTGAGTTGGGGGTTGTTTCCGAGGATACAAGCTTGGACAATGGACGAGATTCGATGTGCTGTGAAGGAGGACCGCATGCCTGAGGGTGGTGACTTCGGGGTTTTTGGTGTGAGTGCTAATGTCCCATGTTATTTTCCTTTTTGCCATTTTTCATATGTTATACTGAAGAGTAATGGTTTGGCAACCTGTTTATAGAGTTTGGATGTGGCGTACGGTGAATCACATCCCCTATTAGCAAGGGACACACAAGGACCTGATGTTGAGGTGCGACTGCAGTCCATGTTCATTGAAAATGTTTTGGCTCTCCATTATGAGTTATTGTTACTTAAAATTGATTCTTCAACTTTGCAGGATCCCTTGGCATTAGGTAGGTCACGGAAAAGGAAGATGCCCACACCCAGGCGCGTGGCTATGAGAAAGAACCTAAGGCAATATCGTTTACGAGATGAGCGAAAGGAATGTTTTTTTAGCCATTCTTTATCCAGCTGTCATGCCTCGAATACAAGGGAGCTGAACAACTGTTTCAATGGACGGGAATTGGTAATAGATGCTTCGTTTCATGACCGTATAAAGAGGTATGTGCATAGTTGGTTATGCCTCACTGTTGCGTTTAACTTAAGTAGTTGAAGTTGTGTGTAACTATCGGTTTCATTATCCTTAGGTCTATTTGCTATGATGCTGCTAAAGCGTTCAAAATGGTTGAGGATTCATATCATTGCTTGGAAAGTGTACTTAAATGACCTTCAAGTTTCCAAATACTCAGTGCAGAGGGTAGGTGTTGTTGTGGGTTTATGTGACTGCAGATATTTAATTGAATATTCCTTGCCCTCTCCCCCTCAATTCCCCCGTTCATTTGTGTTTCTCTGTGTAAACTTGTTCATTGGTTCTTGATTATAATGGATGCTAGCTGAGCAACGCATATGCATGATGCAGCCTGTCAATATTATCTTTGGTGGTGGTGTAGGAATAAACACCGCTTGTATGCACACATTGAGAAGATTGATAGAAATCGGTTGTTGTGGAGCAATGGTCCTTGTTTCGCATGTGAGTAATTGGCATGTCTATATTTTTTTTGTCTGTATATGATGTTTTATCAGCGCATCTGATTTGGCTATTCTTGTACCAGGTGACTGGAGTCGTAAATGATAGCTGTTGTCTGCCCCACTTATCAAGTGTTGCTGTTTTCTTAAAGAGGCGCTGTTCTTTGGAATTGTACACCACACAGTCGCATTAGTCTTTCGTATTTCAGAAACAAACTGTTAGTCCTTGCACTCTATTCACCTTTGTAAATATGAAACCAGTTACAGGTTTTTTGAAGATTAATATGGTTAAATGGGTCGTGCAGGTATTGAATTTTGCTCAATTGTGTGTTGAACTTCGCCTTAAATCACCTTGTAAGGACTCCCGTGATGATGGTGTTAACATTATCCTGCCACCACTGATTTTGTTCCGCATTATCCCATCAAACCAGTCGATGGATTTCCAGAAACAATAAGTTTTCCGACAACCCTGTCTTCATGAAGCTACTGTTTTCAATGTATTTTTAGTATCAATGTGTAACTACCGCTATTTCTTTGTTAATTTTAATAAACGAAAGTTAAAAAATTCATAATTTTTAGAGTTATGTCCTCTTCGCCGTATTCATCTTAAACTGAATCTGTAGTCGTATTGGATTTGCCTATAATTACCAGTAATAAATTGGGCTAATAGGTCCATTCACGTGGCCGTCTAATGTAAATGCTGAACTCTAATTACTAGGTCCACTCAGTTCGTTAATGAATGTTAGTGAAAATGGGTTCACATAGTTTTAATTGAGTATGTAATTATTGGGCCTGGGCCCTTTTTTTGCATTGGTATGAGCTATATTGCACAAAAACAATCATGTATGGGCTTCTGGGAGTCCTTTTAATACTTTTAGTTTAATGGTTCATAGTTTATCAAAATAATTATTAAGTAGGAGGTTAAATTTAAAACATAAATTTATTGATAAATGGGCTACACCAAAATGTAGGCCAACATTTCTAACTTTTAAATGCCCATTACATTGATAATTGGATCTGGCCCAGTAAGTAGCCCAAAATTTGAAAATATAAAATACATTGACAATGGGGCTACCCAAACAGTTAACCTAAGTATGCAGTGATGCAGTAATGTAAAGGGTACATGTTATCAACCAAATACAACAGAGAGAATTCATGGTTGGGGTTTTATCCCCCAGGTGGCTGATTTTAGAGTTGAACTTTGCAAATTCACAACAAGCTCCTTCGTAAATGTCATTATAACTGCACCACCCACATCATCTGATTTTGAAATGCCGCACACACGGTATGGAAAGAATCCTTGAACAATTATACGAGCCATTTGTACGGACACCCTTGTTTCTGTTAATATTACCACATCCGGCATATGCAACTCTATTGCCGTGTACATCAAAGGACCGAACTCCTCCCTAGCCATATCCCTACAATTCCATATAAGAAATTTTGAGTTGGTGACCCTTAAATCAACTATCTGTGGGTCAGTTACATTTACCATTACTTTAGTGATTCTCCCATCTAATCTGTTGCTGGAGTTTGGTGACCACACCAGAGACAACTGAGTTGCATAAAATGGGGCGTCCACCTTGAACAACTTGAAATCATTCCTGTAACTTTGTAGGCTGAGGGAATGTTCCCCCTTTGACAGCAAACACATCTCCATCACAGGGGACGGATCTATTATACCTTTTATATTGTATTTGGTATTATCTTCTCTGACCCTGGTCCTTTCAGACCACCACAGGTGTTGATGAACCACCTAACGAACACTTTAAACACCTTTGGATGGATAGCTAAGTCCGCCAGGTCGGGTAAGTGAGCTGGTGTTGTGTAGTTCCGAGGCACCCAATGCGCCCACCGCCACCCCTCTAGCTGCTTCAACTGAATCCACCGTGATTATGTTTACCATCCCCATGGTTAATTTTTGCTAAAACACCCTTTTTCACTGGGTTCTTAATGTAAGATTTTGGTAAATTATTTTTGGTCAAATTGAACGTATTTGTGTGTATAAGACCCCTTAAATTTTTCTTGAATTTGTTTGAATTTTTGGGTTCTACGGCTTGAATGAATGAAACAGGTATTTGTAGCTGCCTTTTAACCATTTTCATCTCCTGTGTAATCAATCGTAGGGAAACGGATGGTCTTGTTTCCTTTCTGTAATGTGAGGTTGTTTTATAGTGGTCATGCAAATGTGTAGTATTCCTTGGTTCTTTATGGCGGCAAGGGTGTTTGAACTTTCCCGCAACTCTGAAAAATTAGAACTATGTGGATGGTTATAAATTTTGTCCTTGAATAAATCCCGCTTGTTTTTGCCGCGAAGCATTCCACTTCCTCGTTAAAGAGGTGGTTCCTGTACATAGTTCGATATGGACTAGAAGGTTTAAATCCAATTGTACTATCGTAACTAGAATTCATTTCGACAAGAATACATCATAGATTAGAATTAAATTTTATTTATTAACAAAGTATTGGTTTTTCTTTAATTGAATAAACAAATGACACTTAAACTCCTGTTTAGTTCCCTACATAAAATAAAATTGTATTTGACCTTCGGAGAATATATATAATTTAATGGTAATGAAATGTTTTAAACTATGACCCTGTGATAGGATAATTTTTGAAAACGGCGGAGTCCTTAATAAATTTAAGTTCACTTACCACTCCTTTATTTAAATAATTAACCAAATAACCACCTTTAATGAATTTCCTATTTAAATTAGATGTGTCGCCCCACATTCGTTACTTCTTTTCTAATTTGAATTCGTTGTGTTGTCGATTTTACTAATGTATGCTGTTGAAGAATATTCGTCTCTCAATTCTGTATTTTAGTTATCTGTGCAATTGAATGACATAAAACCCTAATTGGGAAAACAACATGAACCCTAATTAAATAGTCACCGAATTTCCACCAATTACATTATTACAACTACAGTTGTTGGTGTGTTGTTAATTTAGAATTTAATAATCTTTTGATAACCAGTAATTGGCGTTCTTGTTAGGGTCATACAAATGTTAATTATTTACTCCGGGATATTGCACCTAGAGGTGTCAAAAGCACACCCAACTCAATCCGATCCGAAAAAAACCCGATTCAGATTTGGACTTGCGAGGCCATAACAATTTTGTATGACTTAACTTTAAAAATTTACCCGACTCGACATTACCTTTTCCAAACTGATCAAAATCATACAAATATGAGCTTAGGCCAGTTAAGTTCATTTCAGTTCAATTACAATACATTCAGTGCATGTTAGGTATGTTAAGTGAAATTAGGTGAAGTTGATTTTAGTTGGGTTCATTTAGTTTAAGTCGCAACCCAGTTTATACTATACCGCACTCCTCGAAGACCCACTACCAATGCAAATAGTTCCATTCATAAGTGTCTAGGTTTCAAATAAACCGAAAGTGGTTCGAATCATAAATGGTTTGGGTTATAAACACTTCGGTTTACAATTAGTTGGGATTTTAAATGGTTTGGTGTAGACAGGTAGCATTTTGCTAACAGTTCGCTTTAAGCGGTTTTTCCCCTAATTTAAACGGTTTCGGGTTAGATACTGATGATCTTAAGTTTTGATGATGAATCAAGGAACCTAAGCAAACCCATAAGGGCTTTAACTTTTGTCTATTAGCTTTGATGTATTTGACAGGTTCTTATAGGCAACGAAGTTCTAGAGTCAAAATGGAGCATGGAACTAGTCAGAATGGAGCATGGACGAGCATAGAAGACAATCAGAAACCAAGTTCCTTGAGTGAGGAAATGAAGCTCCAGAGTCGAAGCTTCACTGTGTTCCAAGAAGTCTATTGTATCTTTATTATTTATTTTAGGCTTCTTGTATATATGTTAAGTACATGGTTAATTGATAGGATTTAAGTGGATAAAATTTCAGTTTATAAAGATTTTATTTTTCCTTTCTTTAACAAGATTTAATTTTTATTTCGGAAAAATATCTTGTAAGTAAAAATATCTTATTTATTAAAAGATTTTCTGTTTTGATTTATCCTAATATTTTCGAAAATCTGACTTGGTAAAACTATTTTTAAAACGGCTTTTACTTGGTAAAGAAGCTTGAGAAAATAAAGGAATCACTTAAGTCCTTGAGTGTCTTTGTACTTAGCATCTTAGAAGTTTTAATCTTGAGTTGTATTAGGGTAGACTTTGGGTAAACTCTAGAGTGTTTAAGTTGCTGTGAGTGAAGCAAGGAGAAAGAGAGAGATTAGAGTGCTCAACTGATTGAGGGATCAGTTGCTTTGTAATAGGTTGTTTGCCCTATTATTATTAAGAGTTGAGTTTAAAATCCCTTGGGGTCGTGGTTTTTCTTCTTGATTAGGGCCAAGAAGTTTTCCACGTAAAATCTCTCTTGCACTTTAAAGTTTTTGTTTAAGTTTATTTAAGAATTTTGCAAAAATTACCCTACTTCCTCCACAATACAATTCACCCCCCCTCTTGTATTGTTCATTTGAGTCAACATATACGTTTTGACTCTTTATCGGTTCGGTTTTTTGTTAGTTCGGTGTACATTTGCTATGGTTTGTTAACGGGTTCGGTTCTTATACGGATTAACATTTTTCGGGTTTACTAACATACGGTTTGGGTCGGAATTCGATAACCATAGAATCAAGCAGGCCTTATTTTAATCACAGTTAACGTCTAATCTTTGATTATAGTTGAATTAATAAACTTTTTAGTTGTTTATTTCAAAAACAAAATTGACCATAACAAATTTTTTTGATTATGACCAAAATCCAAGCGAGATCCGTTTTGAATTCCATGTTTTTTGGGAACGGTGTATATTTTCCGATCATTATTGTATATTATTACAATGACATTAATCTACATTATTGCAAGAATTAAACAAATAAAGATGTTTAACACTCGTTTCATTACTGAATCAAGCGTGTAAGTATGTAAAGGACAAGGGTTCGAAACAGCTATTTGATCACAAATACCAATTCCATTGTTACAATACTTTAACACATTTCTTGCATAGGGAGTAATAAAAGAATCTAATCTGATAAAGCTAATCTTTATCATCACCCCTACTATGACCTAATAGTGCACTAATTTTCCAACCCTAAATCAAAACACCATCAACTACTATATTTAAGTATCCTCTTCACAACAAATTTCTATCACAAAACCTATCAAAAAACCAACAAGAAACACTTACTCTGCATAACTCCTTGTCTCCAGTGTAATCAATTTCTCAATGGCTCTGGTTTATCCTCCTGGATTTTACGAGGCTTCCATGGAGGAGCAGTCCACCCACTATTTCTTTGAGCTCAACTACAACGAAGAGCCTGAAATGAACTTCAACCAGTTTGTTTATTTCTACCATACTGGAGTAAACCGAAGACATGTAGTGAATGAGCTTTGTCTCCGAGATTTGGTTGCTAATCCTCAGCAGAGGCAAAACCGCATGAATAACCTGATGATGGTGAATGAAGCTGGAGTGATCTTCCCAGCCCATCTGCCGAACATATCTGATGTAGTGGGACGATCTGATGTCCAAGAAGCAATAGTGCAACTAGAGCAAGATCCTGAGATTGTGTACGAAGGTGTGACAAAGATTATCCCTCAACAAGATCGATCCCAAGCCGGTGATCCGACGTGAAGGACCCATTTACACCCTCAAAATGCACAACGCTAATAGCCACTTCGGCTCGTACTCTGATTCTGTTCAGTTCCTGAAGGTAAAACTCCGTCTGTGACTATATAATCTCCTTTTCTACACCCTTTCA